ATGCACTCAGTATCAATTGAAGCAATAATTCACAGCCTCCATGTCGTTTCATATCCAATAAAAAATAAGTGAGGGGAGCCAAGTCTAACCGAGTGGAAAAAAGCAGAAGAAGAGCATTGAGACAGAGATAATTAACTCTTATTAGCTTCCCAGCCACTCTATATGGATGCAAGTAAATGGAAAAGGGGCAGAAGAATTTGCCATTGGTATTTCCAGCCAGGCTGTGACTATGTTCCTCCTTTTGCACTGCTGTAAGAGGTAACTGCATTCTCAAAACTTCAAACTTCACAGCAAAGGGGGGCACTAAATAGGAGGTGTGCCTGAACTCATGACCCTGCCCCAATCCACACAAGTAATAAGAGCTACCTTTTGCATGGGGGACAGCCCTATGCTCTTACAAGTGTTCCTCAAAGTCGTATCTCTAGGGACAAAAGCCAGAGCAGGGCTCTCCAATATTAATTTATCTTTTTAAAAATTGGGGAAAGATAATAAGCAATCGAGTAAGCAAAATTAGATCATGCAGTTTTAAGTTCCTGACTGTCCTAATATTTCTGAAAGGGGTGTGTATTAGATTGTCATAATCTCACACTGTTTAAGAATTAAAATTACTAGTAAGTATAGATGCAGCATGATCACTTCTCCATCATTATGTCTGGTCCTGCCTGATATTCCTCTACCCATTTAGGTGGAAATTTGGTGGATTGGTAGTTCCCAAGAATTTAAATAAAAGCTCTAAAGCCTGAATGTCTGCAGTTACCATGCATCTGGTTTTTAATGCAAGATTCATGGCTGTCTAGATGTTTGCTGGCAATTGAAATGAGTGGATGTTGAAGATATTTAGATTCAGGACAGCTACAACTAAAAATAGTATTAGCTAGGTTTCTTGCTGCATACTGTTCATTTATTATATAGTGTTAAATTATGCATAGGAAACTCTAATAAAGTTAAGGCTTTTTGGAACTTCAGCTGGGAAAAACTGCCTTTAATGGGACATTAGAAGTCCCAAAGACGAGCTTTGCCACAGTTTATATGAACTATGAAATCCTGTTACCTGCTTAACACTAGCTTAATTTTTACAGGGAACATTAAAAGATGTCTGTAGCGAAAACTTGTTAGAGGAAGCGTTCTTCGTAGTTAGTAATCATTTGGCTGCTCAGACTGAAAGCTATCAGAGAAGATGTGTGTTCCTCTCATCAGTAATTGAGGATCAATGTTAAGGACCAGGCTGGAAGAGATCTTTTCTGATGTTTTCCAACGGGAGAAAACAAGTCCATTCACACCTGCCTCAGTGTCAACTGCCTGCAGGCAAATTAAGACTATTTAGTCAATTAACAGTTAGGACCTGACTGACCAGCCTTGGCATTAAACCTGAACTATAACCTTTTCTCTCCTTGAAGGAAGATTTTGCTCTCTGCCAGATCGGATTAGGGCAATTCACTCTTACAGATTTGGAAGTAGTGATCACTTAAGCATTATAGGGTCATTATAGCAAGGATCTCCCAAATCAATCCTTATAACAAGGATACATAGTAGATTAACACATCTAAATTCATCCATTTCACTGAAAAATATTAATATCAACCACTACACTTTGAAGTATGCAGGAAATAAAATGAAAAATGGCAACACTGCAAAGCTCACTCACCTCATCAGCCCCAGCAGCTGGTGTAACAACTAATCTAGGCGCTGGTGCTAATTTCACAACATCAGCCAAGGACATGCTTGTCTCTGCCACCAGCCCTGCAATGAGAATCGCAATTCTGATCAATACACAAAAACAAGATGAGGGATGCGCCTTGACTCAGAGGCAAATTAATACATTATATTGATTCTCCCTGGTCAGGTCACTATTCAAAAGTGAAGGATAAATGGCAAAGAACTTACATGCCAATGCACTAGTCAGGAAGTGGGGACTCCCAAGATTGAGTTTTTGTCCATCATTCAATTTATACTCAAGAGAATAGACCAGCAGCAGAGATGCAGGTTCAACAATATCAGAAATCATTTTGGACACCAATAATACAGCAAAAGGCAGTGGAAATAGAGGAGGAAGAGATTCAAGGACAAACACCCTAAAAAACACAGAGGCGCAGCATGAAAAAATATCAAGAAACCATGCTGCAACTAATGATTAAAATATAAGGACATATGTGGCAGCTGTATAATCAGAGGGAATCCAATTACTGAAGCATTTTGCCTTACAGAGTAAAGTACAGCATTTCAGGTGCTCTTTGTTACTCCTGCCAAAAGCCCTGGACCAACTGTGGATTCCTGTATATGCAGATATAAATTATAATGGACATCAATATTTCATTTATATTAGCAAGTCTTCACTTGAACACAATCCCTCTACCCGGCCAAGGCAGCTGAGCTGCATCAATCAAAAGTGCCATTTAAAACCACACTCAGCATACCTCAGGGACTTGGTCAGGAGAGGACTTGAGCAAAGATTTCAAACACAACTACAACAGTGACAGGGAATTCCCATCTACTAGCTGTATGAAATGAATTGCACATATCTTCATGGAGGCTGTACACATCAAGCTGCAGTCCTTGGCAAAGAAGCTGCCTGCAGCACAGCAGGTATTGGAATGGTTCGGGTTGACTTTGAAGTGGAGGACAAATTCAGAACAAGACTGGAGTTAGATTGGGAGATGTGATTCCTATAAATGCAGAAGTGTTCTCAGCATGCTTTGCTCCTGCTGATAATCTGATGCCGTTGTTTCCGCTACCCACTGCAGCTTTTTCTTTTTTAAAGAAATAAAATGAACATTTTGTATGTTAAAATCACTGACTCAGGTTCTCTGCTGCATGGAGTTTCTGCTCTGTCTCCAGATACAAGAGTACAGACAATGGAGGCTGCACCATGTATCCTAGGCAGAATTTGCTTCTAAAATTAAAACTCGGATGTTTTTGTGGTCACCTCTGCTGTCTCTGCCAGACTTCTGTCTCAACATCACACCCTCTCCGAACCAGCAGAAGGCCTATTCATTTATTTAAGAAATCTTTAAACAGACAAAACTGCCCATGTGGGGCCCAGGGGAATTTGCCCAAATAAGGGCTTCAGGATCTGGCTCATATTTGTTAACTCGTTCAGTAGTAAAATATTCAAGAACCCATGTCATGATCTATTAAACCATTTTAAAATACCTGAAGGAGAAAGAGCTTCCTGGGATTCAACTCTATTAAACCTCTAAGAAGCTATCATTAACATACAAGTGTTTGCATCAATACACATAAATTAATTAACACCTTTCCTTCTGGGAATCTGGCTGTTGCATTATAACTAGTGATGTATTGCAGTAAATGAAATGGCTGAACACACTTAAGAACATCCAGAGATTTATGATTTTACACCATGAAGTGCACACAGCTTGAATGTGGAGCTCAGGGCAGCTTGTACATTCTGGCAGTTGTTTTGTCATTAAAAAGTTGCAAGATTGATGCAGGTTGATTTTAATGCTTCCCGTTTCGCCAGAATTATTGCTAGGCCTTGGAGATTCAGGAAGGGGAGGGGAGCTTTAATTAGTAAAAGAGTCTCTGCAGTTAGAAGATCAGCACCCCAAGGCTCCATGCCCTCCTCAGCTGGTCTCAGGCACTACCAGGCACCACCCTTGGCTGAGAGGTGGTTGCAGGCAGTTTGTGCTGCTGCATCTTCAATCCTCCTTCAAGCAGACTCTCTGCCCCAGGGATCCCAACCCTGGATTCTACAGTAAAAATTAGTTAAGCTGCAATTACTCTCCCACAGTAAGGCATCTACATAAGACCCTTACTGCAGAGTTGCCTAATTAGCTCCACAGTAAAGCATCACTGTCTACACATGCCTTGGTAATAGGCCACAGTAAACTAGCTCTGCAGTGCTGCTCAAGACAAGCACTATTCTACACCAGAGTTATTTACTCTGCCATAATGCATGTGTAGATGGTAACTGGGGCTGGCTGGGGCATGAGGGTGCTACAATGCAGGGCTGCCTGCCAGCTGGCCCTGCACTGTAGTACCTTCATGCCCCAGCCAGCCCCTCTGCAGCACGCTGAGCCTCTGGGCTCCCTGATAGCTGGGGCTGCTCCAACCCAGCTCAATGTGCTACGGTCCCAGGTGCACACGTAAACACTGCACCCAGGAGCAATAAACTCCAGCACAAACTGTGCTGGCATTTATTAAATCGCACTAATTTCACATGTAAATGCACCCACTGTAACTGGGCCTGATCTTTAACTTAAATCATGGAAATTGGTTATATGGAAATTTAACACACTGGGCGCTCAGACTGCTTTTCAATGCAAGCTTACCATGAATTGCTCTGTAAGCACACCCAAGACAAGCAGAGTTAGCGGTATCAATAGTGTACACTGGGGTGTTGAACACATCAGCCAGGACCTAGGAAGAGCAAAAGTATCAGTTACCTGTGAACATAAAAGGCTAGGAAGTAAGTAGTCTCCTAGTATTGCAAAGTAAAACAAATGGCTGCAGCAATTGGTAACCAGGTCTTTGGTGAGTCTACAGGGGTCTAGGGTGAGTCTGAGAGACAGACCAAGGCTGTCAGCAGGTAT